AGAGCTGCGCTCCACTTCGGCGTTACAGGGATTTGTAAACGGCTTCCACTTTTTTTTCTTCTACGTTTTTAGCTTTTTTTTTTTTTTGTTAATATCAATTCAACGTGAATTTAATAGGTGCAATAAGAATGAAAATTAAAAGAGTACGTGCTATTTATTACTTATTTATTAACAGGTCCAGAAACAAAAATATAGCGGTTTTCTGCTAAAACCTTAGGAACAATGTTATATTGAATACATCCGCGCACATGAACTTCTAGTACAGTTGGATAGCAAATTAAAACTTTGTGATTATAAGAAATTACAAATATGTTCTAAACAAATGCTTTATGCGACGCTTGTGGCATGAATACATACTTGACCCGGTAACAAGTTCCCAATAAAAAAATTCGAACACAATTAATAATATAAGATGCAGGGCAACACCGTTGTTTATTTTTTCATATTTTTCATTAGTAATGCCTCCCCTGAAAAATGTTCAAGGAAGTAAATTCTTAGCGTTGAATTATTAAATAATGAATTGAAACTGAGTAAATACTCTTGTTGAAATAAGAGACCATGTGCACTCACATATGGAGACACAACAGCCTAGTTTAATGCGCTTTCCGCTTGTGATATTTTGTTGTGGACAAAAATAAAAACAAAAGAAGTAATATATTGCTACTCAAATACTGTCTTGGTTTAATATCTTTAAGCATATGTCGGAATTAAATGCTTGCACCGCACTGCTGTTGAAAATTCAATCCGAATTAGAGTTGAATCGTTAATATATGTCACGAACAATCTAGAATGTTTATTATTTCGCAATTTTTACTCCGTGAACTTGACCTCCTTTTTCATTGATAGCAGTATGGATGCAAATCCCATGACACACCCTGGGCGGTCGCTTGAGGTTGTTACAGAAATTGTTTGTGTTGTTAGCATTTTTATTTTTATTCGTACTTTTGTATGTTGCTTCCAAAGACTGTTAGCGAAAGGAAGTCATTTACCCTTATATCCTGATCAGAGATTGATAGCTGTTTTAATGTTTTTGTATTAATTTAATAATCAATATTCTTGTGGCGCTCCAAGAATGTCAACGTATTGACATTGTTTTTCTTTGTGCCAACAATAAGATAAATGTTTTTGTGCCTCAATAATGAGTTAGTGTATGCCTTGTGCATTTACAGTATTTTTTGTGTTCCAACAATGAGTGCAATATTTTTTGTTTTGTTTTTTAGCCCGAATTATGAGCTTTTTTTTTTAAATGGCTCGTGATGATTTTGTTGTGATAAATATTTTTGCAATTTGATTACTTGTGTGTGTCCAGTGTTGCACCCTTAAAGCCGAAACACAGCTACAGTGACCTTTTGCTGTGTATGTTTTATGATTTCGAGTTATTAAAGCCGGTGTCTTTAGATGGCTGAGGGCTACCTGGGCGAAGCGGGGAAATGAGTCCAGTAACTCACCTAACGAAGATAAGAGTTTGTCGAAGTAGTGATTTCGAGCTTTGTCAGAGAGTGTTGCCGGGATAACCCTGAATGTTTCCCCTCCGTCTCCGGGTAGTTGCATTCGACGATGAGCTCCAGTTTGCGGAAGGCGAAGTCTGTGGAAGACTCTCCCGAACGCTGAGTTGCGCCGAACAGCTTCTGTTTCGCTGCAACTTCGTTATCCAGGTAGTATCGACGAGGGGAAGCGGTCTTCATTTGCTCGCACGTTGTTACCTTGGTTGCCTCCAGGTGGTACCCCACCCACATGATGTCCTTAGATGATAGTTTGGTTACAATCAATCGGATCGACTCACTTGGTGCGACTTTAAACGTCTGGAACCAGAAACCCTTGATATGAAACTAGGCTATGATGTTCTAGCTTAACTGAGGAACCGAGCTGGCAGTGGCGTTGGTCAGCGACTTTGACGGCCGGTCTAATGCGACTGCAGAGTGTGCCGCTGACTCAGCGTGAACAGGAGCTTTCTTTCTTGGGTGCACTGGGCCTGTTTTTTATTGTGGACTCGCTCTTGGAAACGTCCTTGATAGAGATCACGGTGCAGAGCAATTCTGCCGACGAAGTGCTCCGCATCTTTGCCTAGAGCTGATCAAGACGACCAATGACAGCCAGCAGCAGTCCACAGATTAAATTATCTGTTGCCTGTAGCTGTCCGTTGGTGGCGTCGTCGAAAGAGTGCGATATGTCCTCCAGCCGGTCGATCGGTTGGGCAGAGGTCGCGTTCTTGAGCTCTATTAGGTGTAGGCGTAGCAGCTCCACCTCGGCTTTTAGGACCTCTGTGTCCCTGACCACTGATTGGTACGGGGCGTCCTTGGCGTCGTCATCAAGCCATCGGAAAGCTTCGATGGATAGTTGCGTCATCATGGGGCTACCTTGAAACCCTGGACGTCCAGGCGACACTGATTGAAGGAGACCTGTTCAAAGTGCGTCCCCCCATGCTTTGTTAACGAGAATTATCTGAGGACCCGGGTCACCGCTCAGCCGCAATATGTGACGATTGGTTGTGGTCAACAAGAGAAATCGGCTCAAAGCTCAGGAAGAGCACATCAGCCTCCAGGCTTCCATGCCAAACTACTTCTTTATATTTTTCCTTTCCCCGGCGCTCCCACGAGCCGCAACAGAGCTCGCACGAGCCGCACGTGCCGTCTTTTGGGGCTCGTCACACACACCTTACTCCTGTACATTCGAGTTACTCCCACGGGTCGTACAACATGATACAAGAGATAGAGCGTCAACAAGTGAAGTGCGATTCTCCCAGAGGAGCCTGCTTTCTAGAGCTTTGACAAACCCGTACTTCAATGTCGAGGTAGATGCGATCGCGGCGCCGCCGTTTATGCTGTAGCGGCCACTCAGTAAACGGAAACGTACCGCTACTTAGATTTAGCTCAGGGTGTAAGATAGACAGGTGGGGAAACGGCCCATGGAAGCCTACCGCAGCGCCGTGACCGGATTGTGTACTCGTCGGCTTGCGGGTACCCCCGATTTGTGACAAATGGCGTTGCGGCGAGAGGAAAAAAATCGGAATCAGATTTGCATGGAAATTTATGGGAGAGTGGCCAAAATAAACCGAGAGCACGGCAGTTCTCCCATGGAAAATCCACGAGAAACCATCTCCGTCAGCTTAGCCGGTCACCACCGGTCACCCACCCGGAGTGAAAGTTCGCTGTGCTCCACATAGATGGAGCCACAGACAAAGAGAAAACCGAGAGGGACACAATCCGGTCGCTCATTTGGCTCTCGTTTCTCCACCTGTCTATCTTACACCCTGATTTAGCAACAGTTGATACAGTTGCGCCGTGCTGCCCTTTACTTGCCAACTTACCGATTGTGAAACCGTGCCGAAGAGGTGAAACATTTGCCCTTTAACGCACTATCGCGGCAAAAGCAATGGTAATACAAAATGACGTGAGTGTTGCTAAGCAGGTGCTGCGGATCAATGATTTCACGTCGTCAACAGTTAAAACGTGCACTCACTTTCTGTAAGTCACGTCACCGCGAAGCACCACTCATATTATCGTAGGTTATCTCTGGCTATGCCGTACGTGATAGCGTGGGCGGAAATATGTTTTTTTTTAAATCACTTCATTGAACTAACAAGTCACTGTTGTTCACTGGGTAACAAGGTTTCGTTCACTCACTGGTATATATACGTCTAAGATCTAAACCTATGGGAACCCATCATTTGAACTTGGTTGACGCCTAGTATTTGCAGATGGTAAACCAAAACCTCTTTGTATTTGTATTTTGTATTTATAAGGTTTTCTCAAAGGAGTTATTCCGTTGATAAAAAAGGAAACTTTGTGGAAGCACAATTTTGTAACATTTTTGGAAGTGCTTTTTCGTCCCTGCTGAGACCGAAAATATAGTTCACGGAAAACAGCTGAGGCACTCGCGTCTGTGAGGCTACTTTATAATAAAAAATGAATTTTTAACTTACATTCATGCCACAAGCTGCAAAGTTGCAGATGTACAACTGCTTTAGGAGAATTGAATTTCTTTCACAGATTATGAGGCATTAGTGCATTAGTGCACATCACGTAGGTGATGTGCACTAATGCACATCATTTTTTACATTCAAGATTTTATCTTGACTTTCACCGAAGTATCAAAAGCCCACAAATAATTTAGCATCATCTTGTTATGTACTTTGAGTTCATATATTGAACTTTAATATACACTTCTTCCCATGACGTTAACAAACTTAATATTAGTTTCTCTCAATGTTGCTGTTTTGTGGTATATACACTACATTTAGCAGTTTTCTGAGTTGTTTAGTGAAGAAATTGCCGTGTTGAGGTAGGCGGCAGTTTTAGCGGTTTTCAAGGAATATTGTGTTTTCTGGCGCTCGAAACAGTACTCCAGTTTACGCTCATCAACCGGAAATTGCTGAATTACTTTCGTTAGTTAGTCATCAAGTCGATGTAATTGCTTACTTTCAACAAAAGTGTTGTCAGTGACAATAATGCTTGTGACGCCATTAAGACACTAGGGGGGCAAACATTGAAAAATGATGTTAAAACGGTCATTGTTAACCTGCACCTCAAATTTATCGGTATTAGCGGGGTGTTTTTTTTTTTTTCAAAACTCCTTCAGTGAGTTTTTTTTTTTTTTGCCAACACTGGTTTTCATCAGACGTTCTCACTATATCGGACGTTCTCATTTCACTGTCGCCCATACCTATCAGTGCCAAGAGTCAAACTAAATGGTTGCTGCATTATTATCGTTTTATATGAAAATCAACGATATTTCTTATGTAAACAGCTTTTACAAAAATTTCGTTGGAGAGGCTTTAAATTTACAACGTTCAACCAAGCTCTCAAAAAGCATCGCGGCATAAAAATCCCCTCTGTTCCTCTTTTAGTGCTGACTAAATATTCCCGGAGCAGCTATAACCTCTTCTACTGCAGCGGTAGTTTCTTGCCTGTCCTGGTCACGTGAAGCAACTAAGACCCGTACATAGAGACCAAGATCGTTTATATTACGCACACAAGTCCACACACAAATAGCAATGGCGTTTAAACAAGCCTGGCATGGGCGAAGTTGTAGGCGAGTGGAGCAGCGTGCCGAGCGTAGGCGAAGGGAGCTGCGTGGACCACTGGGGTTCCGTGGACTGCGCGGACGGCAACTGGAGCAGCATGGACGGCGTTTACTGGGACTGGGTGTGGGCCATCGACAGCTGATGAAAGGAACTGAGCATGGGCTGGGGCGGAAGTCTTGGTTCCTGGCTCGTTGGTATCGACATTGACGCGGAAGCCAGCGGCGTCGGCGACGTAGTTGACTGTACGGGCGACGCCGAGAGCGTCGACGTAGCTGTACGAGCCGACCTTGTTGTTGAACTCATCACCGGTCTCCTGGCGGGTCATGCGGGTTCTGAACTCGTCGGTGTTGTCGTAGCCGAAGCTGTAGGGTTGGGGTGGCTGCACAAAGAAAACGTAACGATGCATTATTACAAAGTGTTGTACCTACCTAGGCAACACTAGCAATATAGTGATAGAATTCATTCATTGGAGGGCAGGACAATACATTGGGTAAAGTTGCATTTAAACACGTTAGGTGATTAAGCGCCGCCTTTAGTGGCGCTAAATACATCACCATAAATATTTTCAGGCCGTTTGGTTGCGATCTCGATTTAGTATGTTGCGGTGCATTCTGACGTCACTTGGCTGTATCGAAAGATGGACCAACTAACCCAACAACGTACCCTACAGAATTATAAGATGTTTACTGAATACGTTAGTGCTCCAAAAACCTCCCTATTGGAAACCAGATGCCGCTGACCCATGCACGCCATGATCATTCCCGCCCTCCCCCCCCCCCCCCCCCCAGAACAAAAAAAAACACGATCCGAGACTTACGCTGTGCACAACAATCTGGGAAGCCGCGAAGGCGAAGAAGCAGCACAGGAAAACCTAAATAGAAAAATACATGCTTTTATAAGCAATATTTCCAAAGGCTAGCGTCACATCCCCTATGCAACATACACAAAATCAAAACTATCATTATTATTAGTTACACGTACCTAACCTTTAATTTAATATAATAAAGACTATATAGTAAACTGTCACGTTTCATTGTCAGTTAATTGCACCTTCATAAATTATTAGAAAGTAATGAAATTTGTTCATAAATCTCCATGTCTGTGAAATGTAGGCCCACCTTAGAGAACATGGTGAATGCAATTCCGCATAAGGTTTAAAATGGATAGTGAACTGCTATTAGGGCAGCTTTATATACTCTAAGCTTCCCATTAAACCTCCTCTCAAACGAAATACAAACCGCTTTCCTTACTGTCAATGAGAGGCAAGAACGGTTATTGGATAGTAGCATTGAGTAGAAAAATGCGTTGTCGTTGAATTCCACAGCAGGTAAGTGTGGCAAGGGTTCCAGCGCCTGGCCTTGTTTTTCGCTATACGCAGGGAGTGCAACGGCACAAGACCTGCTATTTTTATACATATGTCCTTTTAATTAACGGGGCGTTGCAACCTTTCTGTGCGTTTTATATTCAGCACATAACAGAAGTTCAGCTGGTTTTTACGAGACCCGTTTCTGTGACATTCACACGTACCGCCTTTTAACCCTCGAGTAGTACGCACGTGCGCCGTACGTGAGCGCATGCTTAGCCGCTGGACCTAGTTGTTTTGTGCAGATTGTAGCTATACTGACTTCTGCTAGATCCGTACGGCCGTAATTATTACGCCTTTGTTGCTCTTTCTTTGTTAGAAAGATCACTGGCTTCAAAATGGGTGCCCTGTGACACTCCCTGCATGTAGGTATTCAGCACAACTGCCTTTGGTTTTTCTGATTATGCGCATTCCAAATACACCTAAACGTGATGCCGACGATCTCGTACACTTTCATTGACGGAGAAATAAAAATAAACAATGCCGACTATACGAACGTCAGTTGCTTGCCTTTGGGACGAGAATTCTTTAGAGGAATAGAACTTGAGGAACATGCTAATTTATAAGTCGGATTTACCGGGAGCTTCCATAGATGCGACGGCTTGCACCAAGGGAGGGGGAACTTATTTTTGGAATAAAATTAAAATATTAAACAAATCTTTTGCGTCGAGTTAGGTCAATATCCCATAACTCTATTTCAATTTTTTTTTTGTCGACATGTATACTTGACACGTTTGCTTTTTGTTTGTCGAGGGGTAAGATCTGCAGTTTTTGTTTTGTTTTTCTGCACTGTAAGTAAGGAAACCAGATAGTTAAAAAAATAATTTTAGCAACTTTAATAATTTCGTATTTTTAATATTATCGCTCACCGCACAGACTAAGGGCATTGGAATTTCATTCAGTGCACATTCCATATAGATTAGAAACTCCAGTTCTGATTATATTGAGATTAGAATCGCCCGTGAAAGAATTATATTGTTATCTAAATTTTGAAACCGAAATAAAGCTTGAGGTGTGATGGTACGGCGGATTATTAATACACCTTGTTTCCCCACAAATTTATAGGTATTGAAGAATTGTGCTGGCCGCTTTGAAATAGGGGTTTTAAGTAACATGCCAGGGAGTATTGGGCCTAAGAAAACGATTATCTAATTTTCCTTTAAGTAAAATCGCACACATGTTGACGAAGATAAACACATGCGACTGCATCAATCGTGGTAAGGCTACGGGGCCGACGAGTCATATCATCTTTAAGAGTGTCTTAATTTATGCCACATTCTTCTCATCCAAATCCACCATTCAGCGAGCCGTCATTGCATGTGTTTTAGCGCCTTATTCCTACAAACAGAGGAAACAAATTACAGCAGTAAAATGTCCAAACTTGTGGTAATTTTACTGCAAATAGGCAGTAGATACAAAATAGTACAGGAGAATTAACCAGAGATCAGTGCTTCCAAAGATCTACTACACTGCGACCAACTTAAGGCACACAAAAGTGCGTCACGACCCCCCCCCCCCCCCCTTTCTCCTCCATCCTCGCTTTTTGCGCTACTAAAAGGTATCTTTTTCCGTGCATGTGCAGTAAATCAGACTTGTACACGTTACTGACAAAAGTAACCAATTACCATTACAATTACAGCCTCAAAAATATAATCGAAAAATCAGTCTAAAGTAATCGATTACTTTCCACGTTAGTTTTCATACAACTTTTAATTTAATACTGTAGCACATATATGTCCAGTTTCAGCAGCAGTTTTCTCTCGAAGTTTGCGTCGGTTGTTTTCCCGCGTTTCCTCGTGAAGACGTCAGTTGCAACGCTGAAGACCCCCTCCACGGACGCACTAGAGGAAACTCCGGTATTGTACCGTACGAACACTTTGCGCACCAGTTCGTGATTGCGCAAAGCTTCGATGCAAACCTTCGAGTCGTACAGGAAGCGACGTGCTTCATTGCTGTTGACGCTTGGAGAAGGCGCTACAGCCTGTATGCAGCGAAAAGCTAAAGAAATCGTCAGTGTTTCACCAAAACAAAATTGGAAGTACTCTATCAGTCAACAGCTTACTAATCCTTAGGGACTTGCACTCAGTTGTTCCAAAAAAAAAGAAGCTGTGATAGTTTTTGTCTAGAGCTGAGTGAGTGACGCCAACACAACCAATCTTCCTCGTAAAAAATAATCATAAAAAGATCGCGGTTTATCCACGTTACTCACAAGAGGATGGATAAGGTCCAAAACAATGTACAGAGGAAACGAAGCGGAGTGAATTTGCGTACTAATCATCAACGTCCCGTGCTTAGTTGTTAAAGAAATCATTGGCCGTTTATGCCTAGACATGAGTGACTCAAACACATCTAACCCCTAACGGAAGCTTACTAATATAGCTGCGAGGCTTTAGCTAACATTTTCTGTTCGAACTTGGAGTGAACAAAAACGCAAATATTGCTTGCAAAAAAAAAAAAAATGTATATATATGTTCTATTGGTGGAACTTTCTCCTTACCTTGCTTGAAGATACCCAGTTGAAAATTGACCACTGTTATCGCTATATTCGCAACAATAATAAGATATAATTCACCCGTATCAAAGACTTAATATTTTATCTGTAAGTGCCTTAGTGACTCTCTTTGTGTAAAAAATGTATAGGCTAACACTCACATTCATCTTCAATCCCGCTGTAGCGGTAACTTCATACCCTTGCAATAAATGCCTTCAGAAAGCTGCCTGATCTGTTGAACTGCTGTAAAATGCGTTCTTAGCAAGTGCAGCAACTGTACGTCTGCATAATATTCCCAATTACTGCACACATTTTACTTGGGTTATAAGAACACGACAGGTTACAAAAGAAACAAAAAGATATCAGCCTTCGTCATCCCTTTACTACGTCATCATAGAGATGCGTCTCCTCAATGATCAGAAGGGTATACATTTATTCATTAAGGTATTGTCATTTGAATTGTAAGTGTTCACATCAAACAAACGGCACGTCACAAGGGGAATGTGAAACTATTTTGTGATTCACTTCAAGTCACTCTACTTATGGCTAAAATATCGACTTCTTGTATCCTATAAGTACACAAAACGTCAATGACCGCAATACGCCAGGTTAGCGTGTGTATGCTATAACCGCTCTAAGAATGGCCTGATTGTTTGGTCGTGCCGCCAAACGTGTCTATATGCGGTAGCTTTAGAGACTGGATGGGGCTGGCTCTGTAGCTAAGTCGGCAGAGCACTCGACTTCCCCGCCAATAACCGGGGTTCGATCCCTCTCCACCTTCTCCCGCTTTTATTGTGAAACGTTATTTGCCTCGTTTGAGTATCCAAAAATTTTGCGAATGCCCCGATAATTTGGGTACTGAATGGCTAAGTCTGGTATGACATCACGTATGACGTCACAAACAAGACTGAACATTTTTGGTTGGTTTTGTGCTTCAAGCCACTATTGTCGTCTGTATATTCATTCCAGAAACTGCTATGAAGTCTAGATGCCAGGCGTTAACAGCTAAACAAACCGATGAAGAGCGCCGAGCGCGTAGGCGCCAGTACAAGAAAAAGAGAACTGAACGAGGTCGACTCCTCAACGGGCAATTGCGGTTGATTTTTGTTTAGCTGGTGATTTGCAATTACCAGATAAACCAATCACGCGGAGTTAATCCGCGTGATTCAATTACCAGGTGATCGAAATTGCGCAGGGGTCAGCGGGCGCCGTGACAAATGCACGTTTGACGATACTTCATCGACTGCATCCGATGGTAGCGTCAGGTCTACTGAGACTGGTGTAAAGGAGTAGAGCACTGAAGAAAACGTACGCCGCATGTATTGACGTCACCAGCAATGTCGCAAGGCAAATATTTCAACAGACAAAAAGTTCACGTTTTTTTTTAGTTGTGGTATTTGCCTGCTAAAACAAAACAACGCAATCCTCCGAGATAATTCTAGTAACAGCATAATATTATTGTTTGCCCTCCGAAATGGTTGTCTGCTCTTTTTCCTCTTATTAATATTCGTCGCCCTCCTGGTGTCATTTCTGACGCGGATTTGATGCAGGCTATTCACGTTTTACGTTGTGTTGACTGCCTCTTCGGTATGTAGACGAATTTCATAGGTTTCTCTGGCTGACTACACCTGCCCAGTCCGAATCTGCTGGAAATGCCATTTAGTGTTCCCGCTCATGCCGCGGCAGACGCTGTTTGTCATCCTCAAACGCTAGTCTATTCGCTTTTTTGTTCTTAAGTAGCCTCAGAGTATTCACAGGGATACTCTGCGGCGTTCCCTACAAGCTCGTATTTCTCCGCGCGGTTCGAACCTCCCATACGGTTTTATCCATCTAGAAGAGGTTTAGATCCCAGGAGTAGGTCATGTGGATGCGGCGATCGCATCGGCATTCCGCTCCAGATGGGGTCATACCACGACATCCACCCGCTGTTCCTTTTGTCCCGCCCCACTCCGGAAGGCAAATCTTGAGCATCTCCTTTCGATGAGCCCGAGCCTTGAAGGGACCCGTCGGGGCCATCGTATCTAGGTGGGCCCCTATTCTAACCGGCCACCAGACATTAAACGTTAAACACATGGCCCGCATCACCGTTCCGTTTTATACATCTTTTTCTTTATTTGATGCTGAAAATCGTTTAAAAGTTTCCTTGAGCTTTTCACCTTACAAAGATAACCTACACGTTTCTCATATAAAAACAACCCCCCCCCCCCCCAAAAAAAAAAAAAAAAAATCCGGTATAGACTTTATATTAGACTATTAGCTGTTCGAACAAAGAAGTT